CAAGTATTTGCTTTAATCTTTCTTTAATCTTTTTTGTAATCATGATTAGCATCCTTTCCCTTTGTGATTTGGTGTTAAACATGATTATGAGTGAGTAGTTATCTTAGGGTTTCTAGATGTGGTAGATTAGGGGAATCTAAGGCTTGATTAAAGTTTGTTATGTTCTTCATTTTATGGGTTCCTCTCTATTAATCTGTTATTCATGCTAGATTAGTCTTGATCCAAACTTATCTAAGTTGTTAGCTTTCTCTTATGTCCACCAAGTGTTTGATGAAATGCTGATCATGCCAAGAGATTGGATCTAACTAGCTTAAGTGTGAACTCTATGTCTAGGAATCACCATTGCTTGCTTGCTTGCTTGATCAATGTAGTTTGAAACAGCCTTAGTTGATGCCTGAATTTCCCCAAAGTCAATAACCACATCTAGAGACTTGCCTTTCTCTTATTTGAATTTCGGATTTGCCCTGTTTTGCTCTGTTTTACTCTGTTTTCCTTGCTTAGAATTGCTTAGTTTGCTTCTGCTTTTACTTTGGTTGCTGTTTCCTTCACTTAGGTTGCTAGAACTGTTGCTTAGGCAACAAAACCAATTCTCTGCTTGCTTGACTTAGAGATTTTACTCTCAACTCTTCTGTTTTCAACTCTTCTCAATGGATTGACATAAAACCCTTACTACAACTGACTAGTACAAGGGTGATTGAGCATGAGACACCAATCAATCATGTATCACTTTTCAATGCAAATATTCCTGATGTTCGTGATTTTCGTGCTAGGTATTATTAGCACAACGATTGTATAATATTTAGATTAATGGTTACCATTTATTTGTTCATGTTGTGGGTTTTGTTATAGGCTACAGTGTGATGAAGAGCTCTCGACTGCAAGATGCGGTGGATCATTAAACCAGTTGTTTGGAAGCACTACTTGTGAAGAATGCTACAAGTACATCGTTTGTGTGATGTGGATACCGTGAATTTGTGTATTGCATATTATTGTGAGAACTTATGTTTCTTAGTCAAACGTGTTCCCTCTATTCCGTTATTTGCAAGAGTTGATGTCGGGACCTCTTTAATTAACTAAACAATTGTATTTGTAATATCAACACCTCTACATTTTGATGATTTGGTTCGTTTCGGTGTTCTGTTTGGATTATTAGTACATTTTATTTTTGTTTAGGTATTAGGAAACAATTTTTAGTGTTTTAAATATTGAATTTGCGAGTTGATAGTTACGATTCAGACTAATGCGATTTTGTAGCAACTACGGCTGTTCAATACTAATTTCTAGCATTCTATAGCATCGAAAAAAACGTGGCACACCAAGTCATATGAAAAAAACTAAATTTCTGTTCCGAAAATCGAGCAATTAGAGATGTCTAATTGCAATATTGGAAAGATGTATATTCGTTTATTAATTATATTAGGTTAGGAAACCATTGTCTAGATTAATTGTTTCTATACACAAGAAGTGAGAAGTATATTTCTATATAGCTGTTTAGTATTTCGTAGACTTGTGTTTAGCAGTTTTGTAGTGTCATTGGATTATAAAATTAACTGGGCCTTGGTGTTTTCGAGTTTTAGCAAATGACATTGATATATTTCTGAATTTGATAGATTATTATTTTAATTGTTGGATAGCGTCTTAGAGAATGTGAACTGTCGCGAATATTGAAAGTTCAGAACCATTCGACACTTTTCGTTTATTGTATGCATGCATAATGATTATCCCGTGGAAAAAAAACAATTTTTTAATAATATATATATAACCTATCGGTGTCCGCCTCTTTATCTTCAGTCTGTTCTATATTCTAGAGATCAATAATGTGTTGCTATTTAGGGAAACTTGGATATTCAAAAACAATCATCTGTAGTCTGATATCTTGAGATGGACGGAGTTTCTAGAATAAGCGAGTTGGAACCTTCAAGAGTGGATTGGGAAAGCAGGATGATGGTTTATAAGAGATGGCTCGAGTTGGTGTCCGACGCTGGCGATGTTCTTCATATATTCTTCTCGATGACCAAGTAAGATTCTTCTTTATGTCCTCTTGGTTGTGTTTGTTCCAGTTTGTTTTTTTTTAAATGTTGAATATGCTCCAGGGCTCGAAAATACAAGCAACTGTTGGAAGTGAGGATTTGGTTCTTTATTTCTCAAAGAGGCTCCATGAGGAAGGCCCGCGGAAAAGGATCAAAATTTTCAAAGTGGTATCGGCGAGATCGGCTAGACAAATGACAAAAAATACTTGGAAAATTGAGTTTGAGTCTAGCACAAAAGTATTATGGGATTCCAAAACTGGTGATTTATACAAGGGAGATTATCCACATATGTGGTTTTGAGGTTTTGAGGATTTCTGCCTTGGATGCTTTCAACGGAATTGTCATGTTGGTAAGTCTTGCTACGGATCGCTCGACTGTGATTTTGATTCAATGATTCTGTTTTATAAGTTTTTCACTTTGGGATAATGCTTTAAGATTTGGTGGGTGCTGTTGATTGGGTTGGCGAACTTGAGCTTGTAAAAGATCATTCGTTTAAAGCTTTGAGTCAAAAAAGACAGCAAAGATCGAATTTACTTTTCGGGATGAAATGTAAGTGTTTGATTATTATCTGTAATTGGCTTAACGTAACTTGTGAATTGGAACAAGTGGAACTAATATAATTTCAGTGAACGAACAATAACATGTTTTGCGCACGGGAAATTGGCGATCGAGTTCAATGACAAGTGGTGGTGTTGCAGCGAGCAATTAGTCATTTGTGTCCTGAGTGACTGGCATGTCATTATACGCAATGGTAAGACACTAATGCTATTCTATTAATTTTGTTTATGTATGAATGACGTTCGTTGATTGGGTTATTGTCAACTCTTTTATAGAAGAGTATCATGTTTCTGATTATATCGGTGTCTCGGGAGTGTTATTTCAATCCAGAAATCCAAGAAGCGCTTGAGTTACGAGACGTTCTGTAGGATAATATTTTTTAATTTATTATAATTACTTTGTACATGTGGTAATGATTATGTGTTTTTTAATTCTATTGCTTGTGTATATTTGATTAGAATTAGAGGTAATGAGGATGAGGACGATGAGGCCGAAGAAGAAAATTCTATGCATGACATATGACTTCAATGAATATGTTTACAAACTTTATGTATTTAAGCATTTGTTACCTTCCATGTCATTTTCTTTCAACTGATTTGTAACTTCTGTACCAAAATATCTCGGTAATGGTGTTGACGAGTGTTGAAATATATCGATCGGAGTTGAAATATATCGATAACGAGTGTTTGTGTAGATTCTGATATGTAAACCAGTATATCGATGATCATGGTGCATATAATTATTAAACAAAGAAAATCTTAGATATAAAAGAAACTGAAAAGATAAACCATGACATAATGAATCTCAATTTAAATATTATAAAAACTAAGAAAAATAAATCTACTAATGAAGCGATCTTGTGCATGAGTTCTTCCTTACTCGACCCTAATGTCCTTGGTTTAATTTTAAGGCGTGATATGCTGCTGCAAAAGTATTATGGACAGTGCCATTGACAGTCCTGATATGCTTGAATGATGTTGGTCCTCGCCTTACTTGTAGTAGTTGCCTTAGGTAATAGATTTCACCGTAACCCGTCGGTACAAATGATAGACCGACGTCTTCGTGTTATGTTTCTTCGACGTTTACGAGGAAGCCATTCTTTTGTTTTAGTATGCCAAACCCAATGTAGCGGAAACTCCGTCTACAGATAGTCTCTCGCTTCGAGGTACAAACGGTTGCAATCCATCCAGGCTACGAATTGGATTTTTTGTATTATTTGCGGTGATTCTTCTTCGTCATCCATTATTATATTTGTATGTGGGAGATGGAATGGTAATAAATTCATCACACAATGATAGCAAACTCGAATAGGTTCTATGTTTAGGTATAACTTGATCTTGACTTGTGACGCATTCTTATGTTCGGTGAGCGGACTATATATATTCTCTTTAATACTAGGGTTTTTAGTCAGTTTGCAAATTTTACCTTTTGACGATATGGGTGCCTAATTGTTTTTGATTGATATTTTATTCCATTTATTTATTTAGTTTGATTTGATTAGTACAGTATAGTTGATGAGTACACCAAGATTTTAAAGGATATATAATGTGCCTTATTTGTAGATAAAATTACTTTTTACGATATCGGTATTTAGCTATTTTTAATTGGTACTTTAATCCATTTAATTAAATTAGATTTGAACGACGTAGTTGATGAGCACATAGAATTTTTAAAGGATATTTAGATTGCCTTGATTGTAGATAAATCTGTGTACATAATTATTTGCATATATTCGATAATCGTGAAGTTTATAATGTAAATCTATTAGTTAAGGTAGTCTATGTATATATTCGCATATTTTAATGTATTGTTAAATGTTAGTTAAACATAAAGTTTCCTGAATAATATTGTTAACTCATTAATTAATGTTATATTTCCTGTAGATATTACCTATTTTAAAAATTATATAACGAATTGGTATAAGTACTACTGTTATTGGTTATTTCGTAACATTTTATTGCGATAGACTTGACAATAAGCACGATCATCATTGAATACAAACTACTTTAATGCATGGTCCTTTTTCTGTATGTTGTCGTGTCGTCATCTTCCACTTCTATGTTTCCTGATCGTCTTGCTCTATCATTATTGTGTGGATGCAATTTTACAGGTATTTATCTTCTTTTTAGTCATATATAAGTTACGAGATTGTTTGGTTTTATTGTTTTATATTTCATAGTCTAATTTTGGTTATTCTGTGAGATCCTTCAATGGGTCGAGATGAACAGGTTTGTCATGACAGTCTGCGATCATATAATCTGCCCCATGTGTTATGAAATGCACAAAGTATGTTTGTTGTTGATATACTTTGTGTTATAGTGAAACCAAGTGTCCTGCCCAATTGTTGCTAAAGTGTTTGGTTGTTTACTCAGTGATTGTGATTTTTACTCATGCTTTTATAAATTTATGCAGCTATTGGTAATAGACATTATGCACGTCATGGTCATCGTTCTCTCAGGTTTGGAATGCGTTATTATGTGAAGTCCAATCATGAAGTATGGCTCGATGGCAATGATTGTGATTACATGGATTGTGATTCATCGGGCGGGGATTGCGGAAGTGAAACTCCTGAATCATCTGGTGGGAATTGTGACGCCTCTTATAATGATTTGGTAAGCGATGATGATCGCTGTTTTAATGCTGAATGTGATGAACATGGTGGATCTGACAGTGATGAAAGTCTAAGCGATGAAGGGGTTGACGATGATTCCGCTGCAGATAATGCCACTACGGAAGGGTTTCTTAGTGGAGGTGATGTTTCTGCCTCTGAGACACCTTCTATTGCTGTTTCACGCTCGGACGTTAATCCTAGCTCTCGCTTTGATTTGGAATGTATACGAAAAGGTTTTTTGCGTTGTCCAGCTTCATTTGGTGTCTCACAGCTGACACCTGGTTTTGTTGAATCAGTAATCTTTGTGAAGATACTACGAGTTTGGACTACTTCGTTTCATCCATGTGGTAAAAGATTGTGCATAATTCTTTATGATGATAAGGTCTGTTATAATGTTCCGTTCGTTGGTATTGTGGTGTTTCCATACATGTCTCTTTAATTATATCGTTTTATTGTTGTGTCACAGGGTCTGTGGAACCGTTTATGCTGCTGATTATGACCGTTTCTATTCTGTTTTGAGCGAGAGTGTTTGGATTACAGTCAGGAAATTTGTTGTTGTCGATTTGAATGACAATTATAGGATTACACCTCATCGCAGTGAAGTGCTTATTCTGAGTCCGACTGTGATTGATAGGCAAGTTTATCCAGGTGACCGAATTTTTTTTTGATTTCGTAAGCTTGGTCAGATTTTCATCAGGCCTTCTTCTGAACGTTCGTTGCTTGGTATGTAAATTTTTTATTTACATGTTTGTTTACTATGAAATTTGATGTTGTATTGGTTTGATTTCAGTACTAAGTGAGTAAGTTCTCAATTTCTAGATTTGATCTGAGAAGTTGTGAATGTTGGAGAGCTGAGAATACCTGATAAAGACGTTGGTGGATATGCAAAGCTTACATTTGAACTAATAGATATAAGGTCTGTCGTGGTGTTTACGAAATGTCTAATTTTTTAAATCGTTTTTTGGTGTAATATATGTTCTTTCGTTTATGCAGTAACGTTAGTATCAAATGCGAGATGTTTGGTAGTGATGCTAGGAAGTTCTATAATGATTGGTCTACCTTTAGCAATGATATAGCGGTTTGTGTTGCAAGATGGACTATCGTCGAGGTCTACGCAGGTTGGTGAGATTCAGTTGGTTGTAGCGTTTTTTGCGTTTTCTGTTAAAATTTGATTTGTTTGATAACTTCCGGCCGTATATATATTTAGGAAAAGTTACTATATCTACTATGCATCCTACTGTGATCATGGTTAACCCTCGCCTTGCCGAAGTAACCAAATTCAGATCATGTAAGCTTTTCGAAAAAGTATGAGTTTCTTCTTCTGGTATATATGAATGATTTTTATAAAAACTTTTCAGGCTACCAAGGAAGCGCTCGAAGATCAATATGGATAATAACAAAGTTGGCAATCCTTGAAGCAAATACCTGTTTTCAAGATTTGGAGTTCTTGGATTTGTTTTTTTTTTGGTGATTTATGTACTTTCATTTTTTTTATTCCCGTGCAACTATTGGTGTTTTCAAAAAATTTATGACATTTACTTGATTCTCCAGATTTTTATTTGGCCTCGATATGATTATATCTTAATTTATAATTTCACGTTGTTTTCTTTCTTTTGATGTTTGTTTATAGATAAATTTAAATCGAGGTTCGCAATTAAGTATTGTTTATTGCTAAATTCAGAATATGACTTATCGTGCGGGCAGGACATTATATTGAGTATATTTTCATTCTTGGATCGTTGTTTAAGTTATTAAGTAATAAATTAATTTCGGGTATTTGATAAAACCCCCTCGGTGTAACAATAACCTGTTTCAACGTTTTGTTTTTTCTTTTGCCTTGATTGGGTGATAGTTTGGCGGACGTATGATGCAATGGTGTCGAGGTTGTTATACTACTATTGTTATTCTTCTTTAACCTTATTTCGAGTTTAAGTATTCATTCGATATTAATATTATAATTAATATAGCAGAGACATATAAGTTATATAAATTATACTACAGTCGATGATAAACTGTATGTGTTGTAATTTTAGTATATATTTCAAACAATAATTATCTAATAACTGAATATATTTCTTTGATTATATGTTAATTATTACTAATCGATATCGTACTAATTTGAGTATTCTTGTTGTTCTATGATTTTATATGGGATAATATATTTTCTCTTGGTATTAATTCTTGGACTGGCATGGCATAGTCGTTAAGCTATACTATAGTCGATAAAATTACATTGGATATAAGTTTAATAAAGTAGATATTTATACCAGAAATTATATAATTGAAAATATATTTTTAGTTATGTGTTGATTATTGGTATTTATGATATGGATAGTAGATTTCTAAATTTAATCGTATATTATATTCTGATTCGTAGTCGATAATTATATGGGATTTATACATTTTTGTGTGATCAATTGGCATATAATTGTGGATATTGATGTTTGGTAGACTTGATAAGTGGAAAGTTCTCTTTGGTTACGCTATTTTTAGGATAGATATGCGTTTATTTATAATTATTTATGTCATACAGTTTATATTACGTATCATTATGTAGATATATATGGAAATATAGCATATATCTTATGATAATCTCTTGGAAATATGACATGGAAATACTTTATTATATGTAATTGATTTTACGTATAAATACCAAGCATGTTCTGTCTTATTCTACATCTTTGCTTCTTATTCTGAGATTTTCGTCTAATTTGGTTTCTAGGTCCTAAGCCATATTAAGTTTCGGCCATGTCGTACCTCAAGAGAAAACCACTCACTTCCGCCTTGGTTAATGACATTAAACCTCATTTGGATCGCTATTCGATGGATGTTCGCAACTTGGGTTATGGAGTTACTTAAAAAACAAGAAAGTAATTTCTGTTGATATGGTTCTGGTGGATCGGGTGGTAAGTATTCTTTCATTGGTTTTCTTTCGTTGGGGTGTTATTTATTTTTAAATTATTATTTTTTGATAATTCGTTTTATATATGTTTATAGGGTACTCGGATCTACGCCATTATTAAAGAAGCTTTGATGGCGAAGTATTCAAAGCTGTTGGCTGAGAATGAATGTGTTACCTTGAGAAATTTCTCTTTTGTTGATTACACGTCTGATTATAAGACAAATCCATTAGCTTTCAGAATTCAGTTTCATCGACGAACTGTCGTCGTCCCTTGCACTAATTTCTCTTCAGATTTGCCGGTGAAGTATCTTGCCAAGTTTTCGGATATTGTGAATGGAAAACTGGATCGGAGTGTCTAAGTTGGTAAGTCTATGTTTTTGGGTTTTGTTATTTATATGTATTTATGACGCGTATTAGATCTTTATTATTTTTTTTAAATATTTTATTGCTGGCTTTTCTAGATGTCCTTGGCCAGGTTGTGTCTGTGGGTTCTCTATAGGATGTGGTTGTTAAAGAAAAGAAGGTTCATAAGTTCAATGTTTATCTGCGTGATATATTGTAAGTGGAGTTAATGTATTCGTTTCTTTGTTTTTATTTATTACAACTGTTTCTATTCATAGTAATATTGTGGTTTTCTTTTGGTATGGATGATCGCCTGACTTGTACTTTCTGGAATGATTACGCCACGGGTTTTACGGATTATTATGCTAAAAATGAGGGCAAGGACATCATTTGTCTTATCCGTTTTGCATTGATCAAGGAGTGGAATGGTATGTCGTAATCATCTATATTTGTTATTTTAGTGTATATGTTTACTTGTGATCTATAATTTTTTACCGTAATTTAAAACTTGTGTAGGTAATTTCAATCTATCTAATTCACTGAATGTAACATGTGTGATCTATGAGCCATGTTCGACTGAGGTCGAGGAATTCAAATCATTGTATGTTCTTTCTCTGAGGTGTATACTGTTGTTAGCAATCAATGAATTTGTGTCATTGTTTTGATTATTGATATTTTGATTTTGCTAGGCTTCCTAAGGATAATTTGGTGATTACTAAGACTGAGAATAGACAGCTATCATTTGTTTCCTCTGCATCACTCTTTTCATCAAAAATATGAGGAGGCCTATCGAGATGATTGTTCGTTCTACTGAGGTATTTTCTATCTATTATCTTGTAAACTCTTGGTGGTATGCTAAAAAAGAGATTTATACTAACTATGACATTGTTTTAGGTTGGTAAATGTGTTACTGCTGCTACTATCAACGATATCGAGTTTCCTAAGTGGTATTATATTAGTTGTAACCGATGTGATAAGAAAGTTGAGCCATGTGAGGACGTTTCCGGTTATGATGGACATCCCCTTTTCGATTGCTTAGAATGTAAGAAAGATGTTTCGGACGTTGCTGCACGATACCGTATTATCGTACACGTCTCGGATTTGAATGGAGATAAGGCTCGGTTCATGCTCTTTGATAGCGTCGCTGAAATTGTTCTTGGGATATCAGCACCTGATTAAGCCGAGAAGCATCATGAGGTACGTTGATCCTTAATTTTAGAGTGTTTTGCAGTGGTTGTTTTGTTGTCTATTCTTTGTAATAGTGGTCCTAAATGTTGTTATGTGCACTCAGTCTGATCCAGATGCTTTGCCTCTACCGTTGAGTGTTCTGGTCGGGAAGGAGTATCTTTTCAAGATTAGTGTTGGTGTCGATAATCTGAAGAGTAGAAAGGCGTCATATATCGTAGATATAATGAGCTCTGATCAAGAGTTGATCGACTTATTCCATGAGGATGCATCATCGCAGGTAACCGGTCGGAAACTTTATTTTTTATTTTTATATCTAAGATCATGTATATATAATTTAGTATATATACTGACTAGGGGTGTATATAATGTAGCCGATTATTTTTTATTTAAGAATTTAATTGTTTGTTTCATTTATAGGCCCCATCTGGATTCTCTTCTATGTCTTCTCTAACGAGTTCATCGAGGAAACGTGATGCGCTATCTGCATCGGATTCTGGAGAGAAGGGTGATATCACTGTTGAGAAGAAATCCAAACATTGCGAGTGATCAAACCGTTTTTGCATGGGAATATTGTGATTTAGATTTATGGTTTTGGCTTTTATATCGTTTATTAATTATTGTTGTGTAATTTTATTTATGATAGTTTTTAGGATATGTTTTGGTTTTCTCGACTTTGATTAATTCTGTTTGGTCCTTGTCTATCTAACTGATATTTCCTTAATCTAATAAAAGTATTTTATTTGTAGTATCAATCAGATAGTTTGAATGTAGTATCTGGCCTTTTTGGGAAACAATATACATAAATACGATGATAGGCAGCCAAATTATAAATTATCTCAATTAATTTAAGTATATTATTATATTTTTAATAGTTTCCTGTTTTGTAATCATCTAAACCTTAAATGCGAGCAGATCTAGCCTAAATACACTCATCGTATATATGAATATAGAATAGATATTTTATTTGGATATTTTGCATGTACTATTTTTTTAAAGTTAGGGAAACATAGTATTATTAGATTACATGTGCCATTGTTTTGTGTGTGTATGGTCTCCGGTATATATTACTTACTGAACTTGACGCGTATATGTATTATATATAACTTTTTGGTTTTCTTTTTTTTAGAAAATATATCTTTTTAATTTCTATATGTGTATTATAATTATCTTATATAAAATAGAAGAAAATCTAGCATATATAGTTATCGTGTATGTAAATATAGATTACATAATTTAGTTTGGAATTTTAAATATATTATTGTTAGGGTTTTGCATTTTACTGCTTGATATATATATATATATATACCACTATTTTGTGAGTGTACGTTCTAAGGTATATCTAACATATTTATACCTATTTGACACGGAAAGCATGAAAGAAGCCAGGAAAAAAATGAGCAGTTCTAAAATAAAAGTCTCAGGTGTACCCATGAAACGTAAGATTGGTTCGGGTTTAAATATTTATGCAAATTTCTTCTTCTATACTCATTTGTTCTTCTATTTTCTTTGCAGGTGTTTTGACAAGAAACCAGCGATATGCTCCTGGAAATACTGCATATGTGTCTCCTTTTGTCCAGTATACAAATCTAGATAACTTAAAGAGGGAACGTTATGGGAAAGCTATAAAAAATAGGCTAGCAATCATGAGGTTCAGGAGAACTCAGAAAATTGGTCCGTGATCTTAAAAAGAAAAATCTTATTCTTGTGCTTCATTTGACGCCTTTTATTAATCTATCTATGTTTTCTGTATCAGGCTCATTATCATTTGATCCTTATATTGACGATTACGTTTCTTTGTGCCCACTGATTCTGAGCCTGATGGCGACCGTGACGATGTTCCCCATCGTAGGCGTTCTCTGAGGGATGGCAACTCGGACGAACACATTTTTGATACCAAGGTCGTCGCAGATTCTAATGGTAAGGATTGTTTAGTAATTCGTATTGCATTATTAATATTTGTTGTGTTTGTTGTGTTCTGCTATACTATTATTTTTTTGTAGGTTATGTTGATGAGGGTGATCCTGTCTATGTCTGTGGTAATTGTCGGGTTTACATGCGGATTGGTGAATGTTTGCAAAAAAAGAGTAAGAAAGGGAACTCTGCGTTTCTCGATCTGTTGTGGACAGAGGAAAGTTGACCTCCCACTTCTTCGAGCTCCTCCGAAAATCTTGCTGGCCTTGCTTTATAATAGTGAACAAGAGAGGTGCAAAAACTATCGTGAGAATATAAGAGCATATAACATCATGTTTTCGATGACTTCTCTAAGTGGAAAGATTAATCACTCAATTAATGATGGTAAAGGTCCCTATGTCTTTCAAATGCACGGTGAAAACTACTATTGCATCGGTTCTATGCTTCCGGACGTCGACGAACATCCTGCCTTTTTGCAGTTGTATATTCATGATACTGCTAATGAGGTCTCTAACAGAATCAAAGCTTATGGGTAATAGTTTGAAATTTTTTCTGTTTGTTATCAGGTCGGATTTGTTATGTTCTCATTGAATTTTTGTTTTAAAAAAAAAGCAAAACCATAGGAAATCTCAAGCGAATGGACAGATCAAAAAGGATATAATTGAGCGCTTAAAAAAATGCTCGATACTTATTATCCAAATGTGAAAGCACTGAGGATTGCATCTGAAAGGTTGCGTTCGGAAGATGATATTGAAAATCTTCGGTTGGTTTTAAAAAGTGAGAGACAGCTCGATGGCAGGATACATAATTTGCCAACCGAGAATGATGTTGCCGGTCTTATTCCTGGAGGTTTTGATTTGGGTGTTGACACACGTGATATTGTTGTTGAAGCTAGGGACGGTAGTTTACATAGAATCAGTGAGCTGCATCCTGCTTATTTGGCACTGCAGTACACCCTTTTGTTTCCTTACGGTGAAGACGGTTTCAGGCTAGGTATTAATCTTTGATTTGTAGATACATCTGGGAGAGTGTGTAAGAATATTACCATGCGAGAGTTTTTTTGCTTTCCGGACCCAATCTAGAGAAGGAGAGGCTACCATTGTTGTTATGTTCGGTCATTTGTATCAGCAGTTTCTGGTGGATGCTTATACGATGATCGAGTCAAGTCGATTGCGATATATTTTCTTCAATCATAAGAAACTGCAATGCGAAAATTTCGATAAAATTATTGAGTCAGCAAATAAAGGCGAGTGTAATTTAGCTGATCATGGGAAACATATATTAATACCATCTTCTTTTACTGGAGGAAATCGGTTTATGATGCAGCATTATTTGGATGCCATGGCGGTGTGCAAGTTCTATGGATTTCTGGATTTTTTCATCACCATTACTTGTATTCCGAACTGGCCTGAGATAACAAGATATCTATGCAAGCATCAGTTAAAATTGGAGGATAGACCCGATATTTATTTTCGAGTTTATAAAATGAAACTCGATAATCATATCCATGATATAACCAACGGTGAGATATTTGGCCGCGCTAATTCGGGTATGTTGGTACTTTTATTACCAACGTACATTCCTCGGTTATCGTTTTCCAGAACATTTACTAATAACTTGGTTACCCTTTGTGTTATACTTGTTTTTAGCCATGTATATTATCGAGTTTCACAAGTGGGGATTGCCGCATGCTCATATGGTGTTATTCTTGCATCCGGATTCAAAATTACCTACTGGTGATGATATCGATAAGATTATCTCAGCTGAGATTCCTGATAAAGAATTAGAACCGCATATGTATGAGGTTGTGGGATCTAATGATCCATGGTCCATGTGAGGAAGCCAATAGAAGTAATGTATGTATGGTCACTGGGAAATGCACAAAATACTTCCCAAGGGCTTTCAACAAAGTCAAGCGGGTTGATGAGGGTGGATTTCCTATATACAAACGTCGTAACGATGGTCGCAGTATTCAGAAAAAAGAGTTTTGGTTGTGATAATAGATACGTTGTACCTTATAACAAGGAGTTGACCAAGCGTTATCGTGCACATATAAATGTCGAGTGGTGCAACCAGACGAGGTCTGTGAAATATCTCTTCAAATATATTCATAAGGGTCTTGATTATGTCAGTGCGGCCATTGAGAGTGATGATTCTAATAAGGTGTTCTTAGATGGAATGCCTTGTGTTGATGTTAGTCTGATGGGGAAATATAAAAATCATCTACTTGCAGATGAGTTGAGTTATAATTGCGATGAGCTCAAGTTACTACATGCACGATTGTTGGATACAATAACATCTGAACAGAAGGCGATATATGATGAGATTTTGGATGCTATACGTCGTGATGTAGGAGGAATGTTTTTTGTTAGTGGGTTTGGAGGATCCAGAAAAACGTTTTTGTGGAGTATTTTGGGTGTTGCTATTCGTTCAGAAGGAGGTGTTGGTTTGAACGTGGCATCGAGTGGTATTGCTGTATTATTGTTACAAGGTGGAAGGACAGCCCACTCACATTTTGGTATACCGCTCATTGTAAACGAGTTCACAACTTTCACAATGACAAAAGGATCTCATTTAGCAGACCTTATTAAGGAGGCTAGGATGATTGTATGGAATAAAGCTCCAATGATGAATAAGCACTGTTTCGAGACAGTGGATAGGAGTATGTGTGATGTCATTCAGTGTGATAAGCCATTCAAGGGTAAGGTGATTGTTTTGGTGGAGATTTTAGACAAATACTACCTGTCATCACGAATGGGACTAGGGCAGAGACTGTTTTGGCAACCATAAACTATTCCACTCTTTGGAAGCATTGTAAGGTTCGAAAGCTCAATGCTAACATGAGGCTGCGAAGAACAAGTTATGTACAAGATGCTATTGAGCTCGAGTCCTTCTTGAGGTGGATTATGGACGTAGGTGATGGAAAAATTGGTGCATTGATTGAAGGAGATAAGGAACTCGAGTTTCCTAATGATTTGTTAGTGTTGGGTTGATAAACCTATCGAGAAAATTGTGATGGAAGTGTATGGCGATTCGTATTTAACTACTTGTGATCTGCGGTACTTCCAGGAGAGAGC